TTGTTTTGAAGGACCCGGTTCCATGCGCCGGTAGTCCCACGAACGAAAAGCGGATTCCTACTGGGCGTTTGGATCCACAGCAAGATCTGAGCACGGGTTTAGGCTTCAGGTTCTAGCAAAAGAGTTTGGGGGTTACGAACCCGAGCCGAGTTTTTAGCGACTCCAAGCTTTACTTAGTTTGACTCGACTGCTTCTTTTCGATGCTCACAGGCCCGGAAATACAGAGTCGTAACAATCTGACCTACCCTGTGGCTATGAGCAAGTCATCCATGTGGCTGCGATGATCGCGTCACGGTCTGGGGCCCTGAATCAATTTGACGGAGGAAGCTGAAGGAAGCTAAGAGAAGTAACGCAGCACGACTCAAAACCCCTTAAACCCTAGGTTTATTCAGCCCGACAAACTTCAGAAAGCCCTAAACCCGACCCGTCCCCTACAGGATCGTTGCCTCCAGAATCCCAGGCTTCCACTCGTTCGAAGGCTTCCTGCTGGGCAGCCTCCTCGGTGTCTTGTCGGCCATGGCGACGCAGGAGTTGCTTCTGCTACGATGCTCTGCGATCAGGCTAGGATACTGCTTCTTCTTCTTCAGGCTTGGACCTCGTCATGGAATTCGGATCTGGCCGCAGCCATCCATCCGACAATGCTAGAGACTGTGGTTGGGAGTTTAGCGCAGGGAAGCACGGGGGAGCGGTCTTCGGCTGTTGTTGCGGGCTTCGAAGCTCCACGATGTGTGCGCCATGGGATGGTCCTGTGCCGAAGACCAAAACCCTGATGCAGGTGGTGCAATGGCTGGCAAGGTCTACTTAATTGCGCCTGCTGTGCTTATGCTTCTCAGCCTAAATCCTAGTATTAAATAAAGCCAGAAACTGCCCGAAACGGCAAATAAGATTCCTGAACACAGGTGCTGCGCTGCGTTGAGCTTCCGTCCTACTGTACACGAGCTCCACCTCAGGCGGTGCTCGGGGCGACCTTTGTGGCCTTCCCGGTCTTGGGCCAATGCGGGTTGCACGGTTTCAGGGTTTCGGATCCTGGATTTACAGCCCCCAGAGTTGTCGGATTCTCAAGGCTTTCGGGTAGTTTATCGTGGGGCTGGATTCTAGATTGTAGGATTTCAGCACTTGCATCGTCGAAATGCCGATCGATCCTCAGAGGGTGTATGTTAGGCTTTCCCAGCTCGACCCATTGCCTCCCGATGGGGCTTTCAAAATTCTCATGATGAGAAGCGGTCGTAGTCGTGTGAATCCTTGGCTTAGAAGGCCTTGCAGAAAGTATCGCATCTCAACAGAGCATACAAAGAGCAGGGTCAAAATGAAGAAGCGAAAACACAAAGCTGCGAATTCGTGTCTTTACCTTATGTGCAACCAGCAATATATGCGAGGAACATATACGAATCTTGAAGGCTTCATATTGCATGAGGGATGCATGTTTAGTAGACAGGTGACCTGCCAGTGACAATAGCGGTGTAGCAATACTTGCAGTGGTTCCGCTGGGCCGTCGAACATAGCGATTGAGTGAAGCGACCGCAGAACAAACGGCTTTCCTTGGAGCTTGAAGCCTAGCATGACTGGAACGACCGGCTCGGCCTTGACTGCGTTGGACCTGGGAGAACGGTTTCAACACCAGGGCCAGACGTCCTCTATTCGATGCATCGTACTTCCCCCCCCCCTCCCCACGACATGCTTAAGTAAGAAGAAACTTTCACCAACGTACATCCTGCCGTGATGCCCCCTTCACTCTTCTGGGGAACCGGCATGAATCACAAAAAAAGACTGCTGCAGGACCCAACTCCCCTTGCCTGCACCCTCCTGGTCATTTTGCTCCCCCCAAACCTTGCTATCTTCGCCACCATTGAACCACCTAACCCCCACTTAGAACCAGCAAAAGACTTCAAGCATCTTGCAATAGCATCTTGAAATAGTAGCCTTGGCCCTAACACGAGCGTTTATCCCAATGCTCAACCCAACATAACCCAGAGCAGGAGGCCATATGTTGCCCAAAAAGCATCAATCCCGAACTGGAAGTAAGCCCTAATATGTAGGGCCGTCAGTAATTGGAGTTGGGCTTTGTGGGCTACATTGTGGTATTGTTTACTGTTCATTATTTAGGACGCCAAGTCCTAGAAACATTGGGCGTTTCTCTGGAACGCCAAAGCTCAAAACACTGCAAGCTTCATGGAACCCTGTGCACAAAGCCGCACCAGGAATTCCACAGCCTGAACCTGCCTAAACACCCTTTTGCTCCAATTGCTCCAAAACCCTAGATCCCACAGTAAAGCCAGAAGGGCCTCGGAGGCTTGTTCCGGGGCTCGAGCTCGGCACTCTTCTGTGCGAGCAGCAGCTGCTCCGACTCCTCACAGAAGCGCTCGGAAGGGTTTGGGAGTGTAGGGGGTCAAGGGCTCATAGAGGTGAGAGGAGTTTAGGGATCTAGGGTTTCTGGGTTTCGTCGCTGTTTTAGGGTTCAGGAGTGCAAAAGTTTGGAGCTTAGGAGTGCAGGGCTTGCGGCGAACACACTCTGGCCACCCAAACGTGGCATGAATCCATAGGCCGGTTTTAGGGGTCTCGAGTCTCGCGCTCTCACCAGGCAGGCGCTCAAGGTCTCTTCACTGCTACCCTGAGGCAATGCCGCAGCCAAATCAAGCCGACAACTACATAATGGCAGGGTCTGGGGAGACTACGGCCAGGGCTTTGGGCTGAGGGTATCCAAGTCACAAAGTTCAAGATCGCGCAGGTTATCTTTCGCCTGTATCCACTCAACTTTGGGGGAGCTCTAAGCTCCAACAAACAGACAACCTATGGCTGCCGGCGGAGCTGGGTCAGTCTGCTGCTGGTGCTTCTGTGGTTCAAGTCTGAAAATGGATTCTGCTATCTCCAACCGTTTTGGGTGTTCATGCTGTTGGGCCTGCGACATCTTCGACTCGAGCTCCCTTTAAACTTGTAGTTGTTGCTTTCCGAATGTTCTTGACTCAGCTAAGAAACGCCATAGACGGGTTCTTGCCAAGGTTGGGCCCTGGTTGTGTTAGCTCCGTTTTGAAAAGAAGGATTTGTTGCCTCCCGCCTGGCTAGGACGAACCTACGATGCAGGGAAGGTTTTCCTGATGCACAGATGGAATTCTCGGCAGGAGAAGCAGAAACGTCGGTTTGAAGAATCAACATCGCAGAACAGACCTGATGAGTGAGCCACAAACAGCCCGTAAGAGAGTCGAATCGCTTCTGCAGCTGCAGGTTGGATGGAGAGCCAGCAGTGCCCTCTCATAGGGTGGATCAGGTCTCTCCACTCATTCTACGACTGTAATGCCTCCGATGTCTCTGCTTCGACTTGCTTGAGACCCTCAAGATCCTTCCTCAAATTTCCGGGCCCTTGGCTATTTCGGCATTTAGGGAAAGGCTGGGCTGCAGGCGGCAAGAAGAGATGCTGCCCGGGCCCTTAGCCATGGCGCAAGTTCTCTACTTTTCAGTCGCAGTTAAGGCAGTTGTTAGGGTTTAGGGTTTAGGGTTTAGGGTTTAGGGGAGTGCTTGGAACTTCGAGCGGCTACAGGAGTGCAATGCCTTGGCCTGAAGAGCCTATCACTCGGTGCCTCTTATCAAGGCCTCCCTTTACGCTCAACCTTCTGTAATATACCATAATAGTCTACCGTATACTACAACTCTAAAACCTATACTGTACTGTAATACTATACTATACTCTTCTTCAAAGAGACCACCATTTCCTTCGCACTCGGTCAGACTTCGAGCGGTTGCTTCGCCGACTGTCCCCCCTTTTTTGGCTTCGTTGGGTACATGCTCCAAGCGCGGGATCGCGCTGTGGATCGTGGCCGTCGCACATCGGAGGACGAACTATTTTCCATTCTCCGCGTGCTGACAGCATCTGAGCCACTGCTGACATGAACCCTATAAAGCCTGGTTATGTCTGGGCTGGTGCACTGCAGCTTCGTGGACCCAAGATACTTCAGGATTCGGCTCTTGGTCTTCGAATCTCTCGCTACACGGGCCTGATCTCTCGCTAGACGCGGTTACTTCCTGCAGGGCTCGTCTTCCTGGAAAACACGCGCTCCCGTCCGGAACGTGCCTGCGGCTGTTGGTGCGACTCACTTCGGGTAGCATCTCATTGGAAGATACAAGCCTAGTTGAGTCCATCGCCAAAGGCCTCAGCCTGTATTCCTTGCAGCATTGACTCAAAGACCCGAGTTGGACTAGCGACGCTCCTCAAGACTTCACATTGCTTCGAGCTTGTGTGCATCTACGTAGTGGAGACTGTTGAGCTTCCATTTTGCATGAACTGCCGTGGGGCATGCTACGTAAATACACAGATAGATGCATATACACATCACAGCCATACAGTACAAGTAAAGCCCGGTGCTAACAAACACATCCACACAGAAACAGACAAACCCGTGCGCACAAACGCGATCACAAACAGATATACAAAACGAAACAACAAGAGAAAGACAAAGAGTGAGAGAGAGAGGCAAGCAGACAGACGGACAAAGAGACAGAGAGATTGAGAAGGAAAAAGACGACGAATTGCAAGACTGCCAAACATTGAACGGATGGTGTTGAGAAAGGATTGTCTCCTACAAACAAGTCGTACATAATGATAGGAAAAGTGGTCTCCGATCAGTCGCTGACACATGTTCTGGGCCTTTGCCAGTGCTGCGACGTCAACAACCACTCCGGTGTCTGGCGCCGCAGGTGCAGTGGACTGCAAGGGCACTCAGGATTCTTGGTTCTAGGGTTTTGTGTTTAGGGTTCCAAGTTTGGGTTTGTGGTTTTGAGGGTTTTGGCTAGGTGTAGTGTTGGGTCTAGGGTCGTGGCACGCTTCTTCTTGGATCTTTCCAAACGACTCTGCATGTGAGGGTCGGGTCGGGGGCATCCTTAGAAGCTTCGGCTAACATGCTTCCAATCGCTAAACGGATGTTGCGATCCTCTCTTCTTCTTTCTTCCTGCAGCCGGGGCTGCTGAAGAGCCCAGGCAGGTCGCAGTATGTAAAAGCTGCCCGGGCTTGGCTACTTCTCCTGCACGGCCGCGCACTCACCTGTCGACTCATCCAGCTGCCTCAGATTTGCTGACACATCCCAACTTGAGTGGTTTATCCTCAGAAACACCAGTTGTATGTGCTTGATTCAGCTTGAGTATTTCCTCGTAGTCGTGGACGGTCAAGGGAGAGTGTTTCCAACATGTCCAGATCATGTTCCCACAGCCCACCTCCGGACAGCGAGCCTGACCCGAAACATCTTCGAGGTCCCAATAGATTGTCCCGGCAGGTGGCGGAGGTGGCAGTGGCGGTGGCGATGACGGTGCGGGCGCCGGCTGCTGGTGCTTGTCGTGGTGACCGGGGTGCTACTGGTGGCGCGATGCTACTACTTTGGCAGTTTGGCTTTTGCTGTTACTCCTTGTGCGCTTCTCTCCTTGGCTCCGAGATGCCTGAAGGTCTGCTGCAAATGGATGCCGAACTCGTCGAGCCTGTGCGGCCCGCAAATTCTCCAAGCACGAATGCTTCAGTAGCGGCAGCAAGTTAAACGAATCGATTATCGACGGGATGTCACCAGGCAATGTGTAGGCCCCTGGCTTCTTCAAGATCACGTTCACACACTGAACCTTGGCTGAGACCACTCAGGCCAGACAGTGGTAGCCTCATCGCCGCCCAAGAAAGTTTTGCCCAGCGACATCTAGACACTACCTTCAGCATCAGGCATTGGCAAGGTGCACAGTCAGAGGGTTGTTCTTTCCCGAGATGACCGTGCCAAGCAGCGACAGTCAGCTGGTCAGTTCGCACATGCACCTCCGCGTTGACAGGCCTTGGGCGCAGATCTCGGCACGCTTCGTTCATCACAAACGCCTCAGGAACAAAACAATGTCTCAAATAAGATGGTAAAAAGGTATACTTCAAAACCACGGTCAGCTTCACATCTTCGCTTCCGAAAGCCCCGCTCAGCCCTGTGACTTCTCGTAGGGGGCGTCGATGCCGGTGAAGCCCTTGATCTTGCCCTCCCGGGCCTTCCTCAGACAACACCAGGCCATGCACAGTTTTTGCGCCTGCAGACAAAATACAAACGGAGATTCACTTTGATGTCGGTAGACAGACAGACAGACAAATACATAAAAGGATATGTGCATGTAAGTATGTATGCATGTGGACGGATGGGGGGATGGACGGCTGGCTGGCTCCATGGATGGATAGATGGATGGACGGACGGGCACGTGGGTGGGTTGGCGGGTGGGTGTGCATGTGGGTATATAGTATTTATGTATGTATGTATGTATGTATGTATGTATGTAATTATGTAATTATGTAATTACGTAATTATGTAATTATGTATGTATGTTTGTTTGTTTGTAGTGAGGTACGAAAAATACGATGTAATGTATTGTACTGTAATGTACTGTAATGTACTGTACTGTGTGCTATGTGCCTGTATGTATATATGTTGTACACATGCATGCATGTCTACCATGCTTATCTGATCCCTTGCTTACTTGTGCGCACGCACGGTGTGATGCAATCACACATACATATACCGACATGCTAAAGCCTGCGCATTCGTTGTCATGCACGTGCTGGTGCAACATAGCACAGGCAGAGCTTGATCTGCAAGCATCTGACGACTTCAGCCATTTGACACTTGCGCACTACAAGGCGCTGTGGCACAATGGAAAGATTTGTCGCGCAGCACTAACGCCATCTACATTTGTACACGTCTAGTTGCGTAGACATGTGCCCCTGCACCCATCTATATAGACTCAACCCCTAAGCCCCCCAAGTTTTGCATCCGGTCCCTCAGCCCTCAACCCTACTTCCCATGAACCCTAAAGTTCCAAACCCCCAAGTCCCAACAAATCCGGTTCCTTGCGAGCGCAGTGGCAAGAACAAACCCAATCATATACTAACTACTAAAATACACGATAGTATACCACAATATGTTATAATAGACTATAGTATACCATACTTACTATCTAATATTATAATCCACTATCGTATTCAACAATGTATTATGATAGACTATAGTATACCATACTTACTATAGTGTACCACAATGTATTCTGCATTATAACAGACTATAGAATTCTATATTTAATTATTCCACAATGTAGTATGATAGACTACAGTATACCCTACTTACTGTAGCGCCCAGTAGCTTGTAGAGGCCCTTCGGATCGCGGCTCTCCACGGCCGCCAGAGGCGCGTCTACGAAGACCTGCGCTTAGGGCTTTTTAAGGTGTTATAAGGGGCTTATATAGGGCTTTTGGGGGATTTCGGATTTGAGGTCCTGTACGTTTCTTTAGAGGGCATTTGTGGATTTGGGGTTTAAGGTTCCATGAGATGTTTGTAGGGTTTCTAGGGGTTTACCCTCTTAACTAGGGATTTAGGTATTTAGGGTTTATCGCGGCAGGTCTCCAGTCCCACGACGCAGAGAAGGTTCGCTGCTAGAAGCTGTCGGCTGGAAAGGCAGGAGGCTACAGCAAGTGAGCCAGGGACCTCCAAATGGAAATAACTACTTTGAGCTGCCTCTTCCTTTGTCGAAGTTAATACAGATACAGTATTGTGATATTATATATATATATAGATAATGTAGGTGTCTGCACACACAAGTCTATATACGCACGCACCCACCAGTATGATGGACATGGTCATGCGCACATGCGTGTTGGCCATATGATGTGGACAACTCGACCAATCGAGAAGCACAGACACGCAGGGGTAGTGAACGCAGGCGGCCAGAACCCTTCCCGGCTGACACCTCCATAAAGGGCAGAGACGCATTCTTGTGGACCTGCGCACGTCCGGGCCAGGTCTGGGCTCGTTTAACGAGGGACGTTGGCACCCGGGATGGAAGGCTTTAGGACATGAGGATCAAGGGCCGATCCGACTGGCTTTGGGCTTTGGTAGGGGTCATGATACTCTCTTGGGACTAACCTTGAGCCGAAGGCCAAGGCTCCAAGAACCCTCCCCGCCTCGCGCGCATACTCGCGATCTGCAGCATAAGGCGAGATCAGGCCCGCGATCACAATGGCCCCAGCCTGAATCTTGGACCAAGCCTCTTCTCCCCTGGCTCACAGTCCGACACCGCTCAAGCCGGCTCTTTGAATCTGCCCTTGAAGGAGATCGGCAAGCTTTGATCATGGAGCCCAGAAGGCTGATTCCAGCAGCTTGGTAACTACGAGAGCCGCTCCGCTCATGGTCTGCAGATATACCGTACTACCGTTTCTATACTATACCCAACTGTCCTGTACTATGCTACACATTACTACACTACAGTATACTCTGCAAGTTCGAGGCTTAAGGCCCTTTCCGGATTTTGGGCAACACAACGTCTTCGATTCCCGAGGTCGTGGCTTCCGCGAAGAGCCTGGACACCTGGCCACAGGAAAAATCAAAACGAGGGCCGATTCTTTAGGTTTAGGAGTTTAGGGCAGTTTTGGGTTTAGCAGTACAACCTGCCAACACTTCGTGACAGTGCTCTAACTTGCATCGCCCCTTTCAGTAAGCTGCCTCGGAGACACGTCGGACATTCTCCTTCCGGTCGGAAGGGCTGAAGCCCAGATCCCTGCGCGGAGTCGGATGCGAGGTGGGCGGTTCAACACGGCCATGCTGCCAACTCCAAGTCGCAAATCCTTCCACCAACCCGTATACATTCAATCCCCCAGTCACATCGACCAAAGGCACTCGCCTGTTGAGCCCGAACCGCAAGTTGTCGCCATCCAGGCGGTACCTCGTTGTCTTCTTTCACGTCTTCTTCTGCTTGGGTAGCGGTAGAGCAACTTCATGGTGATGATGACTAGAAGGAAGATGATGCCGACAGTGATACTGCTGACGATCATGGCACAGATGATCACAAGGAGATGCAAGGAGGATTCGCACGAGGCTGGTTATGGCAGCACTGGATGAGGTGTCCACTTTCTCTGGTGGCTTGCCGCTCTTTTCGGTAGGCCCTTGTACCACGCACATGGCTCCACGCTGTGCTCCACAATCGGTTCCCCTACAGCTCCGCACAAACATTCCGATACTCCTCCCAGGAACCCCAAGCCCCCAAGCCTAAGTCCGCAGAGCTACAAGCTCAGGGATTCGGACGCTAAGCCCAAAACCCTCCACGATCTCCACAAGGTCTCCGCAAGTATTTCTTAAGGGTCTGTATACCGTCACCAGAGAGGTCACGCAGGGGCCAAAGCCCTGATTCTTTAACTCCTACCTTCGCCCCCCATGGCATCACCATAAACCCTAGAAGACCTACATGGACGGCTTGGGGCCCTGCACGAAGTAGCTCTTGGGCTGCATCTCTACCAAGGCACGCTCCAGAGCAACCTTATCGGGAAGGCATGGGACTCGTGTGGGTATGTGCTTGGGAAGGCTTCTAACTTCAAAAAACCCCCGCTCTTGCTGCTTGCTTCCTACCGCTGAGATGCACCACCACCACCTCCACCTCCACCTGCTATCACTGCCTCGCTGGTCTTGCTACTTGTCCGCAGACTGTCCATTCGCTTGCTGCTTCCTCGCGATTGTGTGGCTGGGGATCTCGAATAATTGCGGAAAGGGTGGTCGAGCAAGCTGGAATGCCTAAGATTCTACCGCTGGACTGAGCCACGTGGGAGAGGCGAGGCCTTGGTACAAATGTTCCAGGTTCATGGACTCTGGCTGGCTCTGTGGGGAAAGTGTGCAAAAAGGAAAGTGCCGTTCGGACGAGTGGATGAGGCATGAAGTCGTAGAACTCTGTTCCTCACCACCAGGCGAGTTTCCTATGTTCAGATGTTGGTCTCCTTCATCAGAAGGTCTGATGACAGCTTCAGAAATTCAGGGATCCCGTTTGACCTTAAGTTCGTAGGGTCCTTATGATGCTGATGGCAAGGACCCCATATTCAAGGCGCCCCAAACTTCAAGCACCCAATGAACAGCCCCCAACTCAGCAGCTCGCGCTAATCGTGCTCTTGCCACTGCCCGAAAGGCCGGTCCTCAGAGGCACTCGGAGCTCTGACTTTTGCCAGAGACCGGAATTTTTCGAACATTTTTAAATTTTTCAAGGCCTAAGGAAGTTTTCGGCAAACCTACAGCTGACGACTCTTGACGACCTTCGGACTTTGCCCCCAAACCCGAACCCCATGCTGGGCTGAGAGCATCCACAGCGTGATGCCCATGTGGCCTGAGGTACAAGGCTGAGAAGTGGCCACCGACGCTTTGCCTATAGACCATAGAAGAAGCCATTCGGCAGCAAGAAGAAGCAGGAGAAGTAGCAGCAGCGACAGCAGCCGCAGTAGCAGCGTAGTGGCATCGGCAGTAGCAGAGGCAGTAACAGCAGGAGTAGTGGGAGCGGCAGCAGTAGTAGGAGTAGCAAAATAAAAGGCAGCACTAGAGGTAGAAGCAGAAGAAGCAGCAGCAGCAGGCAGGAGCAGGAGTAGCAAGTACCAGTAAGCTTCTTTCCTGAGCTCCACTCCATTGGACTTCCATTTCTCCTCGCGCGGGAGGCCCTCATGAAACCTCGGCGGCTGAACCACCGACTCAATTCCTCAAAGCAGCTGCTGCTGCCAGCCACCGAAGATCCATCTCAATCTCCGGACCCTTGGTCTGCCTGTGTTTCCAACCCTGCAAGGAAAACATGCCAGAAAGCAGCAAGTTCTCGAATGCGGAAATGCATCGGAAAAAAAAACTCAACAACAGGAGATACCCTTCTACAGAGGTCAACACGGTGCAATTACCAACAAACCTGCCCAACATAGACCGCAAGCACCAAAGGGCTTGATATTGGTGCTCTTCACGTCTGCGCCGAACACCTCGGCGGGTTCGAAGAAAAGAAGCAACCCGGCTTTTCGCAAAAGTGTCATGTAAGACGAGCATGGAGTGTTTGCCAAATGCTGCCTAACGCATAGATCAAAGATATCAAAGATATGTGATACTGCTAAAACAAGCATGCAGGAGTATATACAGGAATGAACGAACACGTAGGCACAGATATTCACCTGAATCATAGTATGGCCGATGTAAGCTTTGTGTACCTATTCGCTCACCATTTGTTGGTCAACGTATCTGCTGCTAGGTTTCGACTGGAAAGTCTGCCGAAGGCAGAAAAATTCAGAGTCGAGATCCCTGGCCTGTCGCCAAACATGCAGGGCACAACATCGAGGGTGTAGGGTTTCGAGTGTAGTGATGCTACTAATGTTCCCTGATTCCAATTTCCTGCTCTGCCAAGGCATCGGCTGTAGAGACCTGCAGAAGCAGCCCAGCCAAGAGGCCTCGAAACTCAGATGATGTGAGAAGTAAAACCAGATCGATGAGCTGGCGATTGCGGCTACCCTGTGCCATCGTCAGGGCATAGCTCCAAAGTCCTTCGTGCAACCGACCCCTGAACACCAGTCGACAACAGCCCACGCCCTCGAAATGTGCAACCCACCAGCACTTGACAGGTGATACTGTGCTCTGATGACACTTCGACACTCCAAAGGGTGTAGAGGTCACATCTTCAATTTGAGAGGTTTGCTCCTCCCATAGCAGCCCCTCCGCTGAAAACGGCGGTCACTGATACTGTTCCTGAGAGTTCCTAGTGTAGATATAGCATTCTATTCCGTGTTGGGAGCTCCTGTTGAGGAGAATCATATATAAGGTTCTTTGTTGCAACTCCATGAAGCCCACAAGCACGAAGACCAGACGCTAATTAGCTCTAAACCTACACCAAACCCTGCACCCCACCCCCCAACCCACATTTCTCCGAACAGGGCCCCGGCTAATGTGCGCGAGGGCTCCCGGCATGGCAGGGATGGGGACCGCGGGAAGAAACTGAAGCCAAAGACTCGCGGGTGTGTGTGTGTGTGTCAGTGTGTGTGTGTGTGTGTCAGTGTGTGTGTGTCAGTGTGTGTGTGTCAGTGTGTGTGTGTCAGTGTGTGTGTCAGTGTGTGTGTCAGTGTGTGTGTCAGTGTGTGTGTCAGTGTGTGTGTCAGTGTGTGTGTCAGTGTGTGTGTCAGTGTGTGCGTGTGTGTGTGTCAGTGTCAGTGTGTGTGTGTGTG